TTGATAAGTTAACGTAAACGCAAACACAAACACAGTTTTCTTTTATTTGCATAGAGCCTACATTCTTACAACTTTTTATAAATTTACAAAAAATTATGATTTCATTTGGAATGAGTAAGAATAGTTTCCCTATTAGTCTGCGTCCCTTAAATATAATTATTGGTCAATTCTCACTATGGAATTACTAACATAGAGTATAACATATAAACAATAAAACACAAACAGAGGTCATACTACCTTTGAACGTAGAACGGCGGAGATAGCTGGAGAACAATCAACAGGCATAGCAGCATCCGAATGCCAAGCATCAGAGAAAGCTTCATCAGCTTGAGTACCGATCCAAACAGCGAGCATTAGCTCACCTTTGATCTTCTCTCCTTTCTTATCCTCTAATCTATACCACTGTGGAGCAAGAGGACTATCTGGCGGCACACGAAGAGGGATATCGTTAATGTCAAACCGAACAAAACCAACATAATCGTCTTTCAAAAGATCTTTGTCCTTAACCACCACTTCCAACACCGAGGCTTGCATTCGCTCTTTCGCGAATGCAAACACTTGGTTCCATTCCGGATGTTGTCTCTTCTCAAAATGTCTTGTGATTCCTTTGTAGTTCCCTACTTTTACCTACAAAACAAAATGTTTTGAGAGAAACAATACTTTATTTGGATGAAGTCTTCTTAAGACTTTACTTAATTACCTCAACGAAAGGATCAACACTTCCGGTTATATCCATCATAGGAAGCTCACGAGCTTTGACAACGCGGACATAGAGGAAATACATTCTCTCCACAAGATCATAAGTACTTGTAGCGGTTTTGTCTTTGTGGATAACACGCCCACCAACGACTCTTCCACCTCCGAGATTCGGGCTTGTTTCCTTGAGCGCGAAATCCGGTGGCTGAACCGAAGTAATTGAATGCGCATGGATTAGCTTCGAAGGCGGTGCTGGTTCGGGTCTCATCTCGTCTGCTTGGTGCTTTGGCACATAATGCTGATGATGTTCATTATAATGATCCGGTTCAGCGGCCGAGGAAGAGGATTGGTTAGGCCCTTGTGGATGTTGTTGATGATGTTGTTGAGCATTGTTTGGGAGATGGTAAAAGACATGTCGTTTATCGGATCTATGTTCTGCCTTCATTGCTGAAACTGTCACACAAAAAAAGAATCAATTCGAAGTAAATAAACATTCATAATAAGTAGAAGTATTTATGAATCAAACCAAACTAAACCACATTAAGTTAAACTGATATTTTTTTTGTAACGCCATTATTTTTATGCACAATAAACTGGATCAAAATCAAACAAAAATCAAAATATCCAAACCGAAACGAATAAAATAATCAAAAGTCTACCCCAAATAACAAATGGTATAAGAGCCGAGGTTAATACCTGTTGGTAGTGCCGGATCTAGATTATTTGGATGATCAGCAGAGGATTTCAAAGAAGCTTCATCGGTAATGTAAACTTTCAAGCCTAACTCACCTCTCACACGAGAGAAGATCCCACGTTTCTCCATGGGAAAGTGAAGAACAACAGAATCAGAATGAGGAACAAAAGAAGTCCCTGAAAGAGATACCTTGCCAAGGAAGGAACGTCCATTAGTAGATCTGTTGTGACTATAAGCTTGAGCTTCAAGTGTGCGATAGTGAAGACGAGATGGATCTGAGATGTTGAAGAAAAAACTCTCGTTCCAAACCGGGTTTAAGTCTCGATCTTTGATCGTTGTTCGGTGTTTCTGACCATCGAAGTAAAGCTCCACGAAAGCATTTGAGGTTCCTTGTCCATCTTTTGGGAAAAGATTGTGTGCTCCAATCACGTCTACTCCGAGTTTTAGATTGCTCATCATCATGATATTCGATCTTGTTTTTTTGAATTTGATGAAAACTTAAGAACGGTTCTTGTTTTGTTTAAAGAATCACATTGATATACAAAGAGACTTACAGTAGAATCAAGCTCACACAACTTCAATTTTTATCAAAAGGGTCTTTAAATTATATACTACATTATAATATTATTTGCACATGCATTCATTAATATATATGTATGTATGTATAAGTTGTGGAGAAACTTAAATTATTTATGGAAAGACCAACTTAGCTAGATTTGAAGTAAGGGTAGACAAGAGTTTCTTGGGATTTTCTTAAATGTTTCTCATCTAGAAAAAATCAGAACCGACCTTATGGTACAAATATACAATAATGCTTATTTATTTTATAAATTAATATGATATGGTGTACCTTAACAAGAGGTATGAATAGGATATGGTGTACCTCAACGTATGAATAATATAATACTAAATTGAACATGAACCTTAAAAAAAGACTTGTAAAAAACACTATTTTTTTTTGAACAAACACAATTGTAAAAAACACTATTGTACAGAGTTGTAAATGAAAACATGAGAAACAAGGCCCTATTTTTCTTGATTGGGTGAGATGAATTCATGAAAATAAAATCATATATTATATCTCCACATAAATGCATTCGCGTATACAACAGTTAATGCATTTACTTCTAGTTTAAAACTAAGAATGAATTTGATCCAAGTTGACCAAAAAAAAGAAAGAAAAGAATTTGATCCATTATCTAAGGTAAAGATCCTAAAAAGACGCTTATGCCACATGAATTTGTTTGACTCAAACTCAAAGCTCGTAATTAAGATCTGTAGCTAGGTTTCCGCGATTAAATGCGCCATAAATATATACACTAGCCGTAGAATATTATTTATGGTGTATAGACAAAGCGCGACGTTTTCTTGCTAAACAAAACAGCATAACGTTCTTTTCTCTAGCTCCATAACATCGTGCTGTCTTTTTTTGTCTGAAATACGTCATCGGTCATCAGCACACGGTGGCGGAAACAGAGCCACCTGAAATTCCCATATCCTAAAGAACTTCAAACCATAATTTGGGGAATTAGGTACGTTCTCTTTTCTTTGCTCCAATTTCTCAGATTTTGGAGGCTTCTCAGTCTCCTTTATGTATTTGCAATTTCTTGTGTTTCTGATGCTGGTGGTTTATAATCGAAGCCGTAATTGAAAACTGCAATGTCATGCTGAGTCGAAGCTGAAGCAATAAGCTTTTTGTACTTAGTAGTAATAGCCCACTTTGCAACATCTGCTATGTTCTTGGAGATTTGTGATAAAAGAGAAATTCTATTTGTCATTCAAGGAAACATTTTGATGTAGAAGACCTCTGTAAAACAGAGCATAAAGTTAACAAAATTGAAGTAACTTTGGCTGAATGAGAGAGGATATGGTCTCTCTGATAAGCAGGAAGTTTCATGAAGTTCCTTTGAATGTTTTACCTTTAGAAATGGAAGCAAATAGAGAGAGATATGCTGCTGATATATCTTCCATAAAGGAAGCTCATGAGCGTATTAAGCCGTATGTACACAGAACACCAGTGCTAACATCTGAATCGTTGAATTCAATCTCTGGAAGAAGCTTGTTCTTTAAGTGCGAGTGCTTTCAGAAAGGGTGAGAGTAGTTATTAATGACTAATGCTTACTCTGTGAAGACTCTCTCATTGTTCTCACTATTTGATCACTTTCATTCATTTTCTGTTATTGTTAAACCAAGTGGAGCTTTCAAATTCCGTGGCGCTTGCAATGCCGTTTTATCACTTGATGCTGAACAAGCAGCCAAAGGGGTTGTAACACACAGCAGGTTCTGTAACAGTTGTTTCCATATTGTGAAAGATTAATGCCATATTTTCAATTGATTTCATACGCGTTAATAAGTAAATTCTATTCTGCTATTATTGTCTTCACTTGATAGTCCCTTACTGTTGATTTTCTTCTACCAGTGGTAACCATGCTGCTGCATTATCATTGGCTGCGAAGATTCAGGGAATCCCGGCGTATATCGTTGTACCTAAAGGTGCTCCAAAGTGCAAAGTTGACAATGTGATCCGGTATGGTGGTACGGTTATTTGGAGTGAATCTACAATGTCGTCTAGAGAGGAAGTAGCTTCAAAAGTTCTGCAGGAAACAGGTTCAGTTCTCATCCACCCGTATAATGATGGACGCATTATAAGGTATTTTTTCTTTCTTGATATTGGTGTTTCAAATGTCTGTTTCACTAGAGCCTTTCTGGCTGCAACTGCTAAGTCATTTTACTACAAGTTTTAGTTATGATTCTTTGAACAGTGGTCAGGGTACAATTGCATTGGAACTGCTAGAGCAAATCCAAGAGATGGACACTATAATTGTGCCGATAAGCGGAGGTGGTTTGATCTCTGGTGTGGCACTTGCTGCCAAATCAATTAAGCCTAGCATTCGGATTATAGCTGCTGAACCAAAAGGAGCTGATGATGCGGCTCAGTCTAAGGTCGCTGGTAGAATCATAACTTTACCAGTGACAAATACCATAGCGGATGGCCTTCGAGCTTCTCTAGGAGATTTAACATGGTAATCTAATTCTTACTTGTATAGGAATCATGTCTTTGATGTGGATATAGAACATTAAAAAATGTTACTATCCGTGTATTATTCCATCTGAAAACGTATTTTTTATATTAGGCCTGTAGTGAGAGATCTGGTAGATGATGTGATAATTTTGGAAGACGAGGAAATAGTTGAAGCCATGAGAATGTGCTACGAGATACTGAAGGTCTCTGTGGAACCAAGTGGAGCCATTGGCCTGGCAGCAGTTTTATCGAACAGTTTCCGTAGTAATCCTTCATGGAAGGATTGCGAAAACATAGGGATTGTACTCTCAGGAGGTAATGTTGATTTGGGTGCTCTATGGGATTCATTTAGAAGTTTTAAGTAATTATTGAACATCTTGGTTATTGGCTTATTGCATTTGTTTCACTGTTTCTTATATCAATAAGAATTGTCTGTAAATTTGAACAAAGGGATTCACTTTCTTGCAAGAAACTCCCCTCTTACTACACAGAGTTAATGAGCACCCAAATACTATTTGACATCTCTTCTTAGAAAATCTAACTAAAAAGGTTAAACTTTTCTTGTTGCCTTAATTTTTTTACATGTCAATGTCACCAAGGAATCAATCTAAAGAAAATAATTTGTTTTCCTTTCTTTTTTGTAAAACCTCATCATTATATAATAGATAATCTAAATATTTGGCTGTTTCTAAATTGGCAACAAAAAAAATCTAAATATTTAGCTGATGAATAAATGAAAATCCAAAGAAATCTATGACTAATCTTAAACTCAGCTTAAGGAGATTTTATAAAACATTAAAGACAAAAAGAATGTACTAAAACACCCAACCTAAGAATCCATAACTATGATTTACCCTTAAAAAACTATGATTTGTTTTGTCTTTTGTCACAAAAACAAAAAAGTGGAGATGTTGAGACAGAGAAAAAGGAATTGTTAAGTACATAAACGTAGCAAAAGGTTTGGTGAATTTTTGTGGAAAAACATATCAGAACTGATCGTTGTTACGCCTAGAAGATGTTTCACAGATTGATCATGCATGAAAGATATTAATCTGTTATAAATTGTTGGGATTGTGTTTGTTATCAGGATTATTAGACTAAGTGCTTAGATCCAATAAAACACTTTTTTCTTGTTTAGTTTCGATGTTAGGAAGATCTCTTAACTTCTTCAATGTTTTTCTTTCTCTCTTTCTCATGTTTCAAGCTTTTATGTCAATTCAAGAATCTTTTTGTCTGTTTTTGTAGTTGTAAACGTGATGGAGAAGTCAGAAAGCTCAAGAGAAGTTCTAAAATGGGAAACTCTGGACAGAGACATACTTGCCGTCATCTTCGGTAAGCTCCATGTAATGGACCTTACCATAGGAGCTTCACGCGTTTGTGTCTCTTGGTTCCTTGCCTCTCACAACAAAACTCTATGGAACACCATCGATCTCGCTAAGCTCCAAAGAGTGGAAGAAGAAAGATTAAGCCTTAAGAATATTTTGACTAAGATCACAAACTCCTTCTCTAACTTTTGTACGCAGAAATCTCAAGGAAATCAGCAAGTTTAGCCGCACTGTCCCGAAGAATCTATTCTTTAACTTCAATTCATAAATACAAGAGGAAGATCTCATGTTGGCTGCTGAGAGGTGCGTAAATCTCATCTTGACAACTAAATCATGAAAACAGATTTGCGCGTTGCAGTTTGTATCATACTTTCTTTTGTTTTTCAGGATGCCAAACATAGAGAAACTTGTTTTACCGTTTTGGTACTATCACTACGGTGATTCAGTTTGGTTTGCGTTTAGTCAATGGAAGAATCTTAAAACACTAATCATTGCTCATGATCACTATGTTACCGGGCTATTTCAGTTTCAAGCTGTGGGAGAGAGCTGCAATAACCTAACTAACTTGAAATATTTGGGTTATTTGGACACAAACAACGCTGAGATAATGGTGCGTCACCTCCAAAGCCTCAAGAGGTTGAGTTTTCGATGCTCTATCGTCAGCAATACCGGAGTTTTATCGCTAATCAGTGGCCTAATGACGATCTTGTACAAGCCGCCGCCTCTCAAAAGCTTGACAAATTTATCACATGTTCAAAAAGCGATTGTAAGGTCTGCAAAGAACGACCAACTTACGGCATGTGCTGGTCGTATGACTCTAAGCATTGGCGAAATGATGAGATAAAGGAACTTAAATTCTGAAATTTTTAAAAGCTTTGTCAATGTTTTGGAACAAATGATCTGATTCTATTTCACAATCAACATATAAACCATAACCATTACAAGATGCATATGTTTCAGTTATAATAAATGATGTTTAATATCTTGTGCCGCACATGACGATGAGAAAAAATTGTGTATGGGTGCATCTGAACAAAAGTTCGTGACTTATATGCTTGGAAAATTACAAGTATTCAAAACCAAGGCCTTGAGAGATATCAAATATCAAAGACAAATGGACAACAATAGTCACAAGATAGAACAGAAGAAAGGCATTCCTATGATTAATAACTATAGTCATTCTCTTAGAAATTTCTACACTGGTGAAGAAATGACTGGTCACATAGAGGC